TGGTATTCCAGGAGACATCTGCTCCAGCCTCAGCGGAGCCCTGAGGGTGATCTCTTCACCACCACTCAGGGCACCGACCCCCAGCATCCCCGCCCTGTCTTGAGGCAGCCACCCTGGGAGTCATGGGGAGTCCCAGAGGTGGATCCCTGGCCAGGGCTGAGGAGGGACTCTTCTGATCACTGAGGGGGACTGTTTGCAAAATGCCATCAAAGGCCTGGTCCTTTGGGGAGTGCAGAATCCCAGCCCTATCAGGACCTCCCTGCATTTGAGGGTGCCCAGGCGCCCGCCACGTGTGTGTGTGTTTACGTGCCAGGACCCAAGCTCATCCCAGAGCCCGGGATGCTCTCAGTGGTGGCACAGAGGGGTGTCGTGGGAAGGATGCTGAGGGGGTGATTCCCAGCAGCCACTGGAGGGACCCAGACCTCAAATCAACGTGTGCACTAGGTCACGTGTTGTGAAGCATGTGCTGGAAGGCATTTCTGGGTGACCCTGCTGGCTGGAAAGGGAGCTGGGTCACCACGTTCCCCAGCACCTCCCTTGGTTCTTACACCCATTCCTGTCCTGCCCTTCCCTCCTCACCCAGCTCTAAGTTCCACCTCACAGAAGAATCCAAGGCTCACTGCTTCAGTGTCCTGCCCAAGGCCTCAGAATTCACCGTGACTGGAGCGCCACTCTGGTCCTCTGGGCCCCCCCCCAGGCCTGGGAAGAGGGGTGCAGCACCTGACATTCCCCCTACAGGGACTGCACAGTCATGGGTGCAGGTGCCTGGAGAGTTCTAGGAGGAAGTCATCCCAGCCGCCCCACGCCCCTCTCTGGCATTCCCAGCATGAATGATTTATAGCGTAAAACACTGAGATTCTACCTTGAACACCCGCCAGGGTCCCCGCCAGGCAGGGAGGCCACGGCCCCACACCCCCCACTTTCCGGCGCAGACAGCCCACCCTCCAAGCCTCTGTGCCTGCATGTCCCACCTGTTGGGCTCTCACCTGCGGGCCGACCCCAGGGAGAGGGTGATCGGAGCTGAGCCAGAGCGCGCTCTCCACGAGCCAAGCCGGGCTGCTGGCGCTCCTTTACCGCTAGCGGCTGCTGTCGCTCAGTGGAGCCCAGGGACCGCGGCCCGAGCGTCCACCGCGCAAGATGGTGGCTCCCGTGACTCCGTGAGTGTGTGCGGACGGGTGCGGTGCTGGGCTGGGCGGGGCGCCCCCTCTCGGAGCCTCCGGTCCGGGCTGGCCACCCGGGCGGGCGGGCAGGCGGCTGGAGGTGCGGGAGGGCGGGGTCCCGTGCCCCATGCGGACCCTTCTGAAGGTTCCTTCACCGCGCCCCCCAGAGGAAGTTGCCCGGCCCTTTGCATCCCAGCCTCGCCAGGAAGGTGGGGTGCCTGCCGGTAGCTCTAACCTCACTGGGCTGCTGGAGGAAGGGGAACCCCACCCTCCCTTGCTGGGCATGTGGACGTCTTTTAGTGGAGCCCCCAAAGGAAGGGGCCCGAAGAGCCTGGGGAGGCTGCTGGGGGCCAAATAAATAGTATGTGTGAGGCTCACCCCAGAAGCACACCGTCACCCAGGGGCCCTCAGATGTCAGCCTCCCAGGTGTGCAAGAGAAGGAGAGCTCTGGGTGGAGACAGGTGTGTCCACAGCCTAAGCCACACAGCCCTTTTCCTGCAGCCCAAACAGCCCGCGCCCCTCAGGTTGTTAATGGGTTTGGCTTCTGTTTTTGATTTTTAGCGCAGTATTGTTCATGAGAACTTTCTAGCACCATCTCAACTTTCTCTATCTGGGTCGCCTAATTAGCAGCCACTAGCAACTGTGGCTGAACTTGAACAGGGCCCGTGCAACCGAGGAAAAGAACTTCAGTGTTTTCATTTAATGCTGATTAAGCAGCCATGCGTGGCTAGAGGCTGTCAGTGGGCAGAGCATCTTCCCACAGCCTCCTCCCTACTCTCCTGCTGTTTTATCAGACACATCCTAGGCCTCACTGTCACTTTATCCCTGGGCAGAAAATGGGGCAAGACAGCAGTTCCTGGTATAGGACGGATCTGACAGTTTGCAGAGGGAGTCACCTTGGCCTGCACCTCATCCCAACCTGGGGGGGGCGGGGGGGGACAGGGGAGAGAAGGGCGGAGTCTTGAAGGAAAAGGCCATCAAGAGCGGCTGCCTCAGCCCCGACAGGTGCTCCACTGCCCTCTTGCCTGAGAGCCTGTGCGTCCTTACACACCTCCCCCGGCACCCCAGTTATGTGCTACCTTCCAGGTTGTCGGGCCTGTTTCCTCCTCTGGAGTTCAGACAGGCAAGTTGGTTGCCTTTCCTGCCCCCAGGGAATGTGCAGGCGGTGGAGAGAGGCAGGACAAGACAACCTCAGGGCACAGAATATGCCGATTTGTACTGTGGGGGATACATTGAGGAAACCAGTGGGTTAGTGACGGAAGAGGGGACTCCGTGGGAAACGATCCCTAGAGAAGCCTCCTCTGGAGGGGGAAGGGCCCAGCGAAGACCAGGGCGAACTAGAATAGGTAGTGCTGGGCGGGAGGGAATATTCTGGAAGAAGGTGCAGCATGTGCAAAGGCCCTGGGCACAGGAACCTGATGCTGTGGAGGAGCCAAGAAAAGGCCACACTGGAAAAGAAGGGAGGCAGGCCGACATGGCACCAAGTAGGTGGGCAGTGCCCGGGCACTCAGCACACCGCAAAGGGGATCCTGGCACTGACGCTGGAGCAGCACACAGTGGCCGAGGGACTATGCCTCAGAAAGTCCCCTGGCTGCAGGGCGACCAGATGGCTAACGGAAGGGTAAGAATGGAAACCCAGGCTGCTCTCAGAAGCAGCTGCCTAGTCCAGGAAAGAAACGAAGTGGCCTGGACAAGGAGGGGGGCGGAGCGCGGAAGGGACGTCAGAGGTAGACGAGGAGGTGGGACCACGGGACCGGTGGGTGGACCAGGTCCCGGGGTGACCGAGAGCAGGGAGCGGGGGCAGGGCCCCTGGCCAGAGCACCAGGTGGGCTGTCTGGGAGAGCTGCGGATTTGTAGGGACAGGTGGAGAGTTCTGTTTAGACAACCCGAGAAGGCAACTGGGTGGAGCGGTCCAGGGCCCAGCGGGTTGTGCCTTTCAGAGTGGCCCACAGAGGTGGTTCTGAAATCTTTGGGCAGTTTGAGGTTGGGAAGAGGAGGAAGAAGTGACATCGTAGGTCCAGGAGTGGCTGATCGAAAGGACAAATAGGGAACGCGTCACCCTAGAAGACCAGAGGAAAATGCATTTCCAGGAGGGCTGCCAGGAGGATGAACAAAACCAGAATCCAGGGGAGGGTGACGAGGGCGTTCGCCACAATAGCAATACCGAGCACTTTCCCGGCTTTGAAAGGGCTGCCCTGGAGTCCCATTCCATCACCCTTGTCTTACCTGCCTGCTGGATGCCAGGTTCCAACCTGGGTACAACGTCAGGGAACAAGACAGTCGCTTCCTCCTCAGCAGAGTCCTCTCAGCCGCAGCCTCAGACAGGAGGTTCTTTCAAACAGACAAGACCAACACTTTCATTCATGTAAACAGTCAACTTTTGTGAAGACATCTGCATGCCCGGCCGTGCAGTGCAGGGGTGCCTAGCGACCCCCTGTGTTCAGACTGCAATGGGAGGAGCCATACCCGGGACATCTAGGGACACTGGAGGACAGGTACCAGCCCAGGTTGGGGAGGGGCCGTGGGGATACCTGAGCTGCTCCCTAGGAATGAATGGGAAGTGCCCAGGGGAAGAAAAGGACAGGGAGTCCCAGGCGCAGAGCGTGGAGGCAGGACCACAGTAACAGGGTGTGGGGGTGGTGAGGAAACCTGGTGGCAGGAGGTGCAGGGGCTTCCAGAGGCTGGGGAGGGCCTCGCCCGCCATGGCAAAGCCAGGGGACCCAGCTGGGTCCGTGTGTTACCTTGCTCTCTGGCTGCTGGGTGAGTGCAGAGGCTGAGGCAGCTGCCTGACCCAGGGAACAGGCGCCCGTGGGGCAGGAGGGCTTGGGCCCTCGGTCCCTGTGCAGTCCTGGGTGAGTCACTTGCAGTCCCCACTTTCCTCCTCTTCCAAGTAAGGACACCGCTACCCTCAGAGCGTGCTTGCAGGAGGGGGCTTGGTCTCATGGGGAGCCCCAGGAGTGCCCGGCACAGGCCTGGCTCAGGGGGCACACGGCAGGGCCTGATGGTTAGGAGGGAGAGTTTCAGTGTTTGGTCACCAGCCGCATGTGGCCTCTGGTCCCGAGCTGCTCGTCCTGGCCTCGTGCCGGGGGTGGCACAGTGAGGGAGGTAGAGGCAGTCAGCTTGTGCCTTCAGTCTGGGCCCAGCTCCACCTCTGGGTGCCCCCCCCAGAACCACTTGGGTGTGCGTGTGCATGTACTTACTCGTGTGTTTAGGGAACTCCGGAGGAAACATTCTGTTTCTCGGTCCTGGGAACTTGGCTTTGTGCTAACTTCCTCCTAATGAAATAAATGACCCTGGACTGCAGGGCCAGCATCCTTTAGGTGAGGCTCAGTCATGAACTACCCTGATCCTTCCCTCCCCCCCAAACCCTCCGGCGCCACCCATCCCCCACCTGTAAAACGGGGTGGCAGAGTGGGGCTGCCCTTCAGCTCTGTGTCAGCAGCCAGCACCAGCCCATGTCTTGTCCTGGATGGAGGGACCCTTGGAGGGGCCTTGGGCCGCAACTGCCCCCATGTGGTGCAGTCCAGCCTCCAGCTGGGGGGTGGAGGGGGGCTCTGCGGGCTGCGTGAACCCACAGTGGACCCCTAACACAGCTCCCTGTCTCTTCCATCTCCAGTCTCCCACTGGCAAAGCAGGATTAGACTTTCCCAGCTAAGTTAGATGGACCATCCCCATTAGCCTGGCGGGCTGCCCGCTCCTGCCTCCCCTCCTCCTCCCCTGGTCCAGGGAGGCACCTCTGTGGGGGGGACGGGGGGATGGGGGTTGGGGTGCCCAGCCCCTGGAGCAGGAATGGTGCCCCTGGGTAAGAAACCAGCCGGTGAGGCCTCCAACTCCAACAAGAAGTGCAAGCGCTACTTCAGCGAGCTCTGGAAAGAGGAGTTTCCCTGGTGGACTTTGACTCCACGCGGAAGCTGATGTTTTGCCTCGAGTGCCGCCAGGCCCTGGTTCGGAACAAGCATGGCAAAGCCGAGAATGCCTTCACTGTGGGCACCGACAACTTCCATCGCCACGCCCTGCTGCGCCACGTGACCTCTGCGGCACACCACCACGCTCTGCCTGTCAACCGGGGGCCCCCCCAAGGGAGAGGCAGCCCACCCGGGGCTGGCCGCCAGCCCCGGCCCCCAGGGCATCAAGGCAGAGGCGGACCCGGCAAAAGTGGCTGTGCTGACCACCGTGTACTGCATGGCCAAGGAGGACGTGCCCGATGACCGCTGCTCCGCCCTGCTCGAGCTGCAGAGGTTCAACCTGTGCCAGGCGCTGCTGGGCACGGAGCACGGTGACTACTGCAGCCCCAGGAGAGTGAGGGACATGCAGGTGGGTGGCAGCCAGGTGTGGCTCTGGCAGAGCAGGGGGAGGGAAACATCCAGTGGTCTGGGCACAGCCTCCCCCGACCCCAAGTGTCAGACAGCCCCGCAGTGGCCAGCGCTCCATTCAGACCTTCACCCAGCGGCCTTCACTGAGGGCTACTTGTGGGCACCACAGTAAAGAGGCCAGGCGAGGCGCTGTCCTTGGGGGCCCAGGGCCTGCGCCCACACAGGCCTATAGGTTTGATTAGCCCACAGTTGTGTTTTTCAGTTTTTTTCCAAAAAATTTAGTTCCTTTCTGAGTTGACCAGAGTAAGAGACCACATATAATAAACCCAGATTTGTGACTTCTGCAAACCTAGGTCCTCACACTCTGCGGACATGATGTGGTGGAGCTGGAGCTTAGGACACGGCTTCTCCATTCCCTTTGGTTTATCCCTGGCCCCCTTCAAGCTCCAAATCACCCACGTGGGCTCTGGAGGCCGGCAAGTTGCAGCTCAGTCCTGGGGCCAGTGTGGGGTTAGGGAGCTAGAGTGCACCCTGCAGAGAGATGACAGCGGTGGGGGCAGTGAACATGGCTGTCAGTTAATCCCTCAGCAGCATAGTCGGGGGAGACCCACATGAAGAAGGCAGATTGGGGCCTCACACACATACGATGCTATGGAATTTCTGTGGTTCATAAGGCATTTTACATTTGTAAACCCAACCACAAAAAACAAAACTACATTTAGAATTCACAACATCTTTTTGAGGATATTGGGGGCAGGTATGAAACTGATTTCAGAGCTGTGGAAATGGGGGCTCAGAGGGGTGAAAGGCCTTGCCTGAGATCCCGCAGCCTGAAATGGCAAGGCTAAGATGAGTCCGTAGGTCTGACCCCAAGGCCGACACCGCCTGCCTCCCCTTCTCAGGACAAGCCTAACTCTGTCCTCCCTCCCTTTCTCTCCCTGGCTGTCCCAGGTGGCTCTTGCCAGTGTCTTGCACACAGAGGCCTGCCAGCGCCTGAAGGCGTCCCCATATGTGGGGCTGGTACTGGATGAGACCAGGCGCTGGCCTGAGTCCCACAGCCTGGCGTTGTTTGCCACTTCGGTGTCCCCGTGCGACGGGCCAGCCTGTCACCACCTTCCTGGGCAGTGTGGAGCTCCAGGAGGGCGAGGCCACTGCTGGCCAACTCCGGGACATCCTGCAGGCCTTTGGTGTGTCTGCACCCAAGCAGGCCTGGCTCAACTCCAGCCTCCCCAGTGACCGCCTAGGGAGTTTGGGCCTGCAGCTCCAGGCCGCCTGCCCGCTGCTCACTGAACTGCACTGCCTTCCTGGCCGGCCGGACCCAGCGCGCCTGCCTACCTCGGTGAATACGAGTGTCCTGGATGCCCTATTCCACCTTCATAGTGGGCCCAGCTCCCACGTGGTCCCCGAGCTCCGGGCGGCACTGGACCTTGCGGCTATTGATGTGGCGGGACCACGGCCCGTCCCCTGGGCCTCCGTGCCGCCAGTGGTGGAGGCAGTGGCCCAGGCGTGGCCTTGCCTGGTGCCCATGCTGGAAGCCTCTGCCCCAGCCTCTCCCCTAGCTGGGGCCCTGGCCCTGGCCCTTCGTCAGTTCACCTTCGTGGCCTTCACCGACCTGCTGCTGGATGCGCTGCCCTTGACGCAGAAGCTCGCCCTTGTCCTTGGGCCAGAGGAGCCAGACTTGGCCTTGCTGCAGCCCCGGGTCATGGCAGCTGCTGCCTCCCTTCAGAAGCAGCAGCGCAGCTCCAGCGGGCCCGCCTTCGGGCCTTCCTGCAGGAACTGGCATCCTCAGGCAAGGACAGTGAGGGCGGCGCGTCCTGCACCTACCGCGGCGTGGCACTGGTCGGCTACTCGGAGGCGGCCGTCCAGGGTTTGGAGCGGCTGCGCGGCGCCTTCCTGGACTCCATGCAGAGGGGCTGCGGGACGCCTACCCCGGGCCTTCGCTGGACGCCGTAGCGGCCTTCGCCACCATCTTTGACTCCCGCCAGTCCCCGCAGGCGCCCGAGGAGCTGCGCCCCACGGCGAGGGGCCGCTGCGCACCCTGCTGCAGGCTGCGGCACCGGGGGGCACGGCGGGCGCGGGGCGACTTCGCGCTCTTTGAGCGCGTGGTGTGCAGCCTCGGGCGGCTCGGCCGCGGGCCCTGTGCGCCAAGCTGGCCTGCGCGCACTCGGAGCTGCAGGAGCTCTCCCCTGCTTCGCCACCCTCGCCAACCCGGCCTTGGCGCTGCCAGCGGGCGCCAGCCTCCTGGACAAGGTGGGCCGCAGCCGGGAGCTGCGGTGGTGGGGGCCGAGCGGGGAAGGCCGGGCGGCCCGGTGGTGAAGATCGCTGTGGATCGCCCCGCTGCTGCTGCACGAGTTTGACTTTGCGCTGGAGGTGGAGCGCTCAGAGTGGGTGGGGGGAGGGAGTCCTGGGGTGGCAACTCTCGTCAGGGGCACCTCCTTCTCTGGTGCAGCCTGCCTGCGGCTCTGGGCATGCTAAGGGCAAAGGGGGGCCTGGCTGCTGCCCCCAAGCAGACCTATCACGGGCTTCTCACCCACCTCAGGGCTGCGGGCTCCCCCAGCCCCCTGGCGGTCAAGAGGGACTGGCCCAAAGGGGTCAGGCGCTAGGGCCTGGACACCCTGAGTACCACTCCTGACCTTTCCAGGGTTTATAGAGAAATAGCTTACCCATTTCCCACTGGGTTTGGCCCTAGAATAGTTGGGGGTCTTAGTTGAGGGGTGCAGGAGGAAGGGCTTGGGAATTGAGGCGTTGAGGGAAAGACCGGAGCCCTGCCTGCTCCTCAGCCCCCTCCTGGCAGTGTCTCTTCCCATAAGTTAGGAGTGACCGCTGGTCACCATCTGAGTTTTTAACACATAGTTCAGTGTTCAACACCTCCCTGTGCACAGCCGAGCAGTTCAGGGAGCCAGCGGGGCTCGCCCTGCCCCACCATGGCTGCCTGCCTGAGGCTTCCCCACCATGGCTGCCTGCCTGAGGCTGCCCCACCATGGCTGCCTGCCTGAGGCTGCCCCACCATGGCTGCCTGCCTGAGGCTGCCCCACCATGG